GGACAGCTTCCCTGGCTGGCCCCCAGGGGAAGAGCAGAAAGAAGGATTCCACTTAGGAATTGCCCTTTTCTCAGAAGAATGAATGGGTAGAACAGGCTGGGTCCTGCCAGCCAAGTCACCGCCCTCGGCCGGAGTGTCCAGGCATGGATGGGGCCGGGGACCCTGATGCTCAGTACGAAGACTCTGTTCCTTCCCTCTCTCCCCTCCTGACACCTTCATTAGGCCACCAGGGTGCCTTGTGCCCCACCAAGTCTCAGAGATCTCTCCTTCTCATCTTCCCCCTGCCCATCTCTTCTCCCCTCCTCCCCATTTCCCACCTCCTAAAAGTGACCCTAAGAGACGTCAACCCTGGGGCCTGCAGCAGGGAAGGCTAACCCAGCTGGGGCTCAACCTTCCGACCTCCTGCTGCCTGGAAAGCCTTTTCAGCTGGCACCAAAGACTGGACATGGCTGCACTGGGCTCTGCTGGCTTCCGGAGAACAGAGGCTGGGCCTGGAGGAGGGTGTGAGAGTCCTGCTCAGGGCTGTCGGGATTCAGTCACTCGTATGTGGGCCTCTGGGTCTGTGTCTGCTGGTAGCCCGAGTGGGTAGTTGTATGTGGGTTCTGCTGGGTGTATGTGTGTGTGTGACTCTGTGTGTGTGTGTGTGTGTGTGCAGCAGATTCGTGTGTGTCTGGGTATCTGTGTGTGTGTGTGTGTGTCAGTGTGCCCTGGAGTGTCAGACCGGGTGTGAGTACAGCTGGTGTGCGGGCATGTGTGTGTCTTCCGGCCTGTTCATGTGAGTGCCTGGACGTGGGAGAGTGAACCTGTGCCACAAGGGTGTGAACACTGCACATTGGCCTAAGTTCATCTTCTTTTCCTTCTTGTTTCTCATAAGCCATTTGATTAAAACTCAGGAAGCCGCCAAACCTCCAAAACGAGTTGTATGTATGCACGTGTCTATGTGTGTGCCTGCGTGTACTCACATGCGTGCGTGTCCACGGGCCAGTCTTCTCTGTTGTCTGCCCTGCCCGCCCCAGCCTGCCGCCCTCCCTCAGCTCCCCTCTTCCCGGGCCTCTCCTCGTCACGCCCAGGGCCTGTGTCTGCTCTGTGCGAGGACTCAATTCCTTCCATCTCTTCCTGTAGTGACCCTGCCTCTTCTTTCAGAAGCTCTTCCAGGAGGGGGTCAGCTCCCCCTGCCCAGCACCTGCCCCTCTGTCTTCCCCTCTCGGGCCCAAGCCTCAGGACTGTCCGATTGGATGTTCCCCGCAGACTCTGCACCCAGTGCAGGGGGAGAGGAGATGGGTGGGGTCTGGCCTCTCCCTGCTCGTGGCCCCTCCCCTGCAGACTGACGCCCCTTCCCACCTTGTCCAGGTGGGAACTGGCCCCAAGCCAGCCCAGCAGATGAGCTTCTTTGTACAGTTCCTACAATAAACCCTTCCCCGGCCTCTCGTGTGTGGTTTCTCCCTGGCGCGTGCGTGGACGTGGGCAAGGGCCAGGGGCAGCCAGAGGGAAGGCAGACCCGCGGGTCCTGGTGCCAAGTGGGGACCAAGAGGGTGAGCAGAGTCCAGTCCCTCCTCCAACACGCAGCCCCTGAGTCCCCACACCCTCCGGGAGCCCCCTTCACCTCTCCACCCGAGAGACCTCAAGGCCTGTGGGGCTCACGGGCAGCCCTTCCCTCTCCTCAGAGATGCTGTCCCTCCAGGACTACTGACCCCCGCCCCAGAGAGCCCAGTGTCACCTGGGCCTCTGAGCAACAGAGAGCAATTTGACAAACTCAGCCCACAGACCCAGTGGGTGACCAGCGTTCCGTCTGTGATTTTATTATCGGTAACGACTTCTGGATCCCAGGACCGAGTTACTCCAAGTAAATACTTGCACCTTTTAAGGGTTTCTATGTCCCCTTTTCCTAGATGCTGAGGTTACACAGCTTGAGAGATGAGGGACACTCACAAACCTTGTCTCCCAGGCTGCCCCTGATGTCCCTCAACTGCCCCTGTGCCCCTTCCCGCCTCACAGTTCTCTCTGGCTTTTGGGGTGGTGGAGCGAGCACCCCACAGGGTTTTCTGGCCCCACTGGCCGCTGACCTCCCTCCCTGGGGATGGGGCTTCTTCTCACTTCAAGTTTCTTCAGATGTCACCTGGCCCAGAGGACAGGAAGCTCGCAGGGGTCTGGCTACTCTTCCTGAGCCTTGACCAGTGGAAGAAAAAAGGCAAAATTCTGAGCAGGGAACAGAAAACGCAGGCTCCGATCTCACGGCTATTCCCACCCATCGGGGCTGCTCCCCTCCTGCAGGAGCTGTGCTCCCACGTCCCCAAGTGCTCAGAAACACAGCGGCCCTCCCCGCGCAAGGCCCTGTGAAGAACAGTCCATTGGGATTATCTGTTTTACACAGAGGAGGACAAGAACGGTGCTGCCTGCCTGGGGGCGGGGGAACCCTGCTTTGTGGGCCACTGTCCACCCATCTGGGGCTTTCAGTGCCCTTGGCCCATGAAGGCCAGGGGTGGCCACTGTGACCATCTCAGTTGCCCTGGCACATTTTCAAATGTCTCCAGGTAAGGGCTCCATGGAGAGCCACCGGCGACCTGGGGGTAGGATTTGAACCCGAGTCCTTCCCAGCCAGCGGTCACAAGCACCCAGGGCCCAGGGCGCCTGAGCGGGCAGCCCGGAGAGATCAGGGTTCCTCCTTCCCCAGGGCTCTTCCCCCTCCTATCCTTCCCAGGGTGACTGGGGTCCCTGTCCTCTTGTTTCCCCCGCATCTGAACCCCTGGTCCCATTCCAAACCCCACTCCGCCCCACCACCTCCTTCTCTTGTTTTGACGCTGTTTTCCTGGAAGGCAGGGGGCTGCCAGATGTCCGAGTGGGCAGGCAGGGACAGTCGGGGGCAGAGGCGGGGGTGGGCTTACGAAGCCTCCTGTTCTGGGAAGGAAAGCGCATCATCCTGGGCCCAGGCCAGGGCTCCGGGCTGTTGTCACCAGCCAGGGAACAACACGGCCCCCAACTGTGACAAATAACCCTGCAGGCAGTGGGGGCCCCACCGCCTCCAGCCCTCCTGAAGGTGAATCCCTGCCTGGCATGAATGGGCATGAAGCCCCGAGGACACATCTGCATTCCTGCTGCGGGGGATGTTGACGTTTGTGAGTTTGCAGGATTCTAGCTGCCCTCTGCCAACCTCCTCGTCCCCTGGAGTCACCTGGGCCCCCAGACCAGCTCCTGAGCAGGCCCCACACCCCACAGCCCAGGGAGCACACAGGTCTGAGATCACACCCCCACACAGGACGGCCCCGCTCCTTCCCCAGCAGCCTCCCAAATTCTGGAGACGCTAGTACCAAGGCTGACCAAGGCTTCCCTCACCAGCGGCTCGGGAGGGGTAGAATTTGCTGGAGAGAGACCCCTGGATTTTGTCTGCTCCTGGGCAGCCTCTCTCCAGCCTCCCCCCAGTCGCACAGAGGCCCGAAGTCCCCACGGCTGACCTCAGGTGATGTTCTTATTCCTGGGCTGTTTGTTCTGTGAGCTGAACATCTGACACCTTTTCAGAGAAATGTTTTTCCATTTAGAACATCTGGAAATGAGCAAGAATAGCTGGGGCCGCCCGGGACAAGCTGTTCCTCAGATGCAAGCTTAACCCGTGGATCCCCGATTTCCTGGCCTGCTCCCCTCGGGCACAGGCCCTACCTGTCAGGTGACACACATGTTCAGGACAGAGGTGGAGCACCTAGGCCCTCTGTGTGCCAACCCTACTGTGGGAATTGGGGTCGCAGCTCCCCAAACACAGGCAGGTCTGCCACCCACACAGGCTGTTTGAGAAATGGAGGGTCATGGGGACAGTGAAATGTGGACAGAGGACTTAGCATCTGTCTTCCTCTCCTGGGGGTCACTGTATGAGAAAGAATAAAGGGACGAGAAAGAGAACGAAGCCACCAGGAGACACAAAACTCAGAGAGGACCTGGCGGTGGGGCTGAGGTTCGCAAGTCTGCACGGTTGTGCAGGTTGCACATGGGGCAAGGGTTACTACGGGGGACCCTGGACCAGGGGCGTGAAGCTGGGTTTACATGAACTCCTGAAAGCTGCATGTCCGTCCCCTGCCCTACTGACAGCAGGATAGAGCCAGAGGGCCTTTTAGCTCCAGAACCTGAGAGCGTGTTCTTAGCCTTGTCCCTTGCCCAAGACCCCCTGGAGCTGCAGGCAATACCTCGGTGCCCTCCGGGTGCCACACAACTCCCTGAAGAAGCTCCCTGATAGTTTTTGCGGTTTTGGGGGGGTTTTGTTTTTGTGTTGCTTAGGGCCTCTCTGAGTTTCGGAGCCTGGCCTCTCATTTGAGATCCTCCTGCCTCGTCCTCCCAAGTCTCTGGAATTATGTGCCACTGCTCCTGGCAAAGCCCTCCGGGTTGTTAAGTGGTGGGTTTCCTCTGAGCATCTCTACCTAGTTCACTCACTTTGGCAGCAAAGATGCATCTTCTCCCGAGTGGCTGCCTCATTTGCCGTGCTCTTGCTCGAGAACCTCTGTAGCTCCCTTCTTCCACAGGCCAACTTCCAACATAATCACCTGCACGTCCTACAAGGGGTTCTGCTCGGGTTCCTGCCAGGTGCCTGGCTCCTGCACTGCCCTTGCTCAGTTCTCCTCTTCTCACGGGGTGAAGTGGTCCAGAGCAGAGGGAGCGCGGGTTAGATTCACTCCTGGGTGTTACTAGCATGAAGACTCCCAGGGCTTTGCCCTCCCAGGAACTGGCGGCCTGCAGACGGGAGGCTGGCAGACCTAGGGATGACCAATAATGGGGTGGGGACCCAGGAAGGGAAGCACAGGCTGTCCCCACAAGACTCAGAAGCCCCCCTTCCAGGACTTCCTCCGAGGCTCCCAGCTGTGCTGCCCAACCCCAGCGACCTTCAAACCCTAGTGGCCAGCTGATGAACGCCCACCCTCCCCCAGTGTCCCAGGAGAGCCCAGGCCTCCCCTGGGTCACAATTTGCATGGCAGGAAGGGGCCTGGAGGGGAAGAGGCGGGGTGGTGATGGGCTGCAGCCAGGCAGTTACACGTTTTCCCCCAAGAGCCTCGGACGGTCACGGGCTCAGGCTCTGGGACAGAGCTGTGACCATGGCCGGGCTGGTGCTGTCTCCGGTGCCTGGCAACTGGCTGGTGGTGCTGCTGCTGCTTCTCTCAGGTATGGCGGCCGTGACGAGGCCTCCTGGGTTGGTTCTGTGTCGCTGACTGAGTCTCCTGCTCTTGGCCTCCTCCTATGTCTCACCCTCTCGGCCTCCTCCTATGTCTCACCCTCTCGGCCTCCTCCTATGTCTCACCCTCTCGGCCTTCTCCTATGTCTCACCCTCTCGGCCTCCCTGTCCCCCTCTGGCTGCCCTGGGGCCCGGGTCTGTGGGTCCCAGCAGTGGTGACCAGCTTGAGGTCTGCAGCCCCAGTCCCTGTCCTGCCTGAAAGGTGTGAGGCACAAGGCACAGACCTGGCTGGCAGCTATGGCTGTGGACGAGCTGGGCCTGGGAGGAGGAGGGGAGCTGGGGACAAGGCTCCCCACTTCTGGTATCCCTTCTCCACTTGTGTCTCCCAGCACAGGGGCAGGGAGAGCCGAGGGGTCTCAAAGCAGCGGGCGCGAAAGGGGGCAGTGGACCTTGGCATGCAGAGGGCGCAGGGGTGGGGCAGCCAGTTGAGGGTGCAGAGGCCTGACCTGGGCCTGCCCACTTCCCCCCCTGCAGGTGAGCCCATGCCAGCAGTGAAAGCAGAGGACTTGCACCAGAATCTCCAAGGTCAGTCACCTTGCCCACTCCTTCTGTGGGCAAGTGTGTCTGTGTTCAAGTCTGGTCACTGTTCCGGGGCTGACCTTGTGTTCCATCCTTGCCTGGACTTCAATCCCCAGGCCTCCTTAGGGTCTCCCTCTGAGCCCCCACCCCCAGCCAGCTGTCTTCCCTTCAGACCAGCTGCTCCAGTCCTGGCCCTGGGGGTGCCGAGTTCAGATCAGGGGAGTCAGAGAGGATTCTACCGAGGCCCATCTAGCTGGGGCATTGGGCTCAGCCTCATAATGAGGATAATTAGGATGGGCTCCTGCAATCTGTGAGGGGCTCACAGATTCCTAGGGGCTGCTTACTGGGACCAAGGAGGTCCTTAGAGCAGGTGGGAGACCACCCCAAGCCGAGGGTTCAAGAAGACAGTAGAACAGATTCACACAGGGGAGGCTCACCAAGGTGCTGGAGGAGGTCTCAGTTGGTAGGCTGAGGATGTGGCCTTTATCCTCTGGGGGAAGTAGGGAGCCCTTGAGGATTTCAGGCAGGTGCAGGACAGCCCAGGGGAAGGAGAGCTGGAAGGACAGGGCCAGTTAGCTGTGGCCCTCCAGGCTTTGGGGTGAGGCCTGGTCCTGGCTGTTGTAATGAGCATGAAAAGAAATGGGTCAGAGCCCTTCTGAAGACAACTCAAATGGGTCAGGAAGAGGTGGAGTCCAGTGGTTTGGCGTGTGGCCTCTCACATGGCCTGGCTCCTGACCTCCCCACACCCTAAGAAGCAAAGATAGGCAGATCCAGGGGAGGTGCCCTCCAGGGTGGGGACCTACAGGACAGGCCGGCAGTCAGGAAAATGCCCAGGAGGATTTTGAGCCTGGCCTTGGTACCCACAGGAAGTTCTTGTGCCCGGATATGGCATCATCCACGCTTCATGGCCAAGAAACGGGGCTCTGTGGTGAGGATGCACTGCTACATACACACCACCAGCGTCCCCAGCAGTGTGACCTGGTTCCGGAAGCAAATTAAGGACCAGGACCCTCAGGAGCTGCCCCCAGAACCGGGCCACATCCTGCAGTTCCGGAATGGCTCTGTCCACACCCTCACCATCCAAGGCGCCCAGTTCGAGGACAACGGCATCTACTTCTGCCAGCAGAATGGCACCACCAAGCCTGTGTTTTGTGGCTGTGGCACGGAGCTGCGAGTCATGGGTGTGTGCTGGGTAGACTGGGTGTTCCCTTAGCCAGCCAGCCATACCCACCCCAGCCCAGCCCGCCACCGGGGAGGAGCAGCCACTTATGGAGGTGGCATGGCCCTAGAACACCCAGGACAGATGCTGGGAAGCCGGTCCTTAGGGGTGCACAGAAGCCACCACTGCGAGCTCTTAGGATGGGCTCCTGCAAGAAGGTTCCGCCCCAGCCTCACGGCCTCCACTCCGCCTCCCCCAGGGTTCAGCACCTTGGCACAGTTGAAAAGGCGGAACACACTGAAGGATGGCATCATCATGATCCAAACCCTCCTCATCATCCTCTTCATCATCGTGCCCATCTTCCTGTTGCTGGACAAGGTGACCACAGGGGTGGGGAGACGGCCAGGAAGGCAGCCACAGGGCAAGCCAGACACGGGCAGGGTCTCCATCTCGCCAGCACCAGGGGCTGCCCTCTGGGCCCAGCTCAGCCCCAGGGCCCACCCTTTGGCTCACCTGTTCACTCACCCTTTCAGTTGCTCTTGGAGGATCCACCTTGCTCCCCACCCCCTCCCCAGTCCTCCCCACCAAGCCCATGTCCCCAGCCCTCTCCAGCCTGGCCCAGCCAGGGGTAGGGGCTAGGCCACACTAACTCCGACCCCTCCCTCCACCCTCCTCAGGATGACAGCAAGGCAGGAATGGAGGAGGACCACACCTATGAGGTAAGGAGTCCAGGCCCCGGAGGCTCTGAGCCGAGAGGCCATGGCCGCCGTCTGTTGGCTCGGTGAGGGTGTGCCCGGGCCTGAGCTCCATTTTATGTCTCCAGGGCCTGGACATTGACCAGACAGCCACCTACGAGGACATCGTGACTCTGCGGACAGGGGAGGTAAAGTGGTCTGTTGGGGAGCACCCAGGCCAGGAGTGAGGAGCCGCCGCCCACGCTCCAGCACAGTCCCCGGGCCTCACCGACTGCTTCAGAGCCGCCTGGATCGCCACCCACCCCTCCTTCCTGGATCCCCAGATGGCTTCCAAAGCCACCTCCCCCTCCAGCCCCAGGTCCCCAGCTCCTGCCAAAGGACCTGGAGTAGGACAAGAGGGCAGTGACTGGGAGTGGGAGTCCTCAGGGGACAGAGTGGACCCAGCCTTCTGGGGAGGCTACGCACGGTCATTCCCAGGTTTGGGACTGGAAAGCAGAGACTTGTGGGAACCAGCAAATGGATTCAGAACAGACCCACTTCCTGCAGAACCTGGGAAGAGCCATGGCCCCCAAAGGGGCGGTGAGAACTTTGTTCCCCTCCCCCATCCCCTCCCTCCCAGGGGCGCCGAGCCTGGAGCCCATTCTCCCACGGAATAAACAATGTCTGACAACCCACCCAGAGGCATGCGGCATCTCGTGGGGTGGACTGGATGAGTGTGGCCCTGTGGTCAGGTGTGGCATCCAAAGGTGGCACCTGTGGGGCAGGGGGGACCACCATGATCACCTCCCCTTGTCTCTGCAGGCCCAGCTGGGGCCCGTGGTCACATGCCCCTGTCTTTGCCCATTACCTCTGGCCCTGGCTGGGCCTACAGCCACCACAGAAGGCAGATCCAGCCAAGGCTGCTGTCACCCTGGAAGATCTTGTCCTCCCCTATCTACCCCATCCCAATCCTGTCCATCAAGGCCTCCTTATAGGAAGTCCTCCCACAGCACCCCAGGCAGTGCCAAGCCCTGTTCAGAGCAGGCTAGGCCTCGGCGGCTGCCCAGGCTGCTCACACACTCTTGGTTCTCCAGTTAGACTGGAAGCTTCCTGAGGGTCGGGAGTTTCCTGCCTCTACAACATTCCCTACCCATCTCCCAGCAAGCCAGGGACATTTTCTCTTAAACTTGACCCAACGCCATCAAGAGATTCATAAAGAGGGAGTCTATAGTGTGGTGAAGTTGGGGGTCCTTAGTCAGGTGACCCCTCAGACTTCCCCAGCATCATATCTGAGGGCCCTGGTAATCCCCACAATGGCCCCAGGGCCCTACAGATTAGGGCCAAATCTCTCAATGTGAGCCTGACTGGGAGTGCCTCACAGCCCGGAGGTCAGGTGCCATTAACCTGTGCCCAGAACCCCCACCCAAGTCAGGCTGGGTGCCACTTCCTGTTGACCTGGCGGGGATCCAGAGCACCTCTCTGTGGTCCACGCTCTGATTCAGGCAGGCCAATCCCTACCCTGAGGGAGCTTCCAGTTTACCCGGAGAACCAAGGCCGGAGAGAAGCACCAGTTTTTAGCAGATCCCCCTAGAGCCTGGGGTCCGGGAGCGGGTGGGGTAAGGCAGGCACACCTGGAGTCTCCAGCCGGTCTGTGTCACCAGGCAGGACACACTGGGGGCCCGACTGGGCGAACTGGGCTGGGCAGTTCCCTTCCTGACCCGGGCGCCACAGGGAACTGGCTTGTTTTGGCATCTGCCTCCACTGAGCTGGATCCTGTGCTTTCCTGTCGCTTTGCATAGCGGCACTAATTTTGTCCACCTGCCTCCACCAGAGACCTGGGTAGCCAGCCGGCAGAGGTTGTAGCGTCTTCACTTTTCCCCCAATCAGGGTCTCCCCCTGCTTGGGGCTGCCCTGGGTCGGGGAAGGCCTTGGCTGAACAGGAAGACAATTTAACACCCTTGAAACCCTGGGCTTCCCTACGGCCTTGAAGGGCCTGTTGACAGAAGATCATCTGGGCAGGGGACTGTCCCCTCCACCAGACACCCTGCAGGGGTGCTGGTCTTCATGGGTTATGAAGGAGAAGCCCTCCCTGGCTGTTTTTCTGTTTTAGGGGCTTTATGTGGGGTGTTTTTGTTTGTCTCATGGGCTCCTGGCCCCAGAATTGACTCTGGCGCGGAAACCTAGCCGGGTGCTGGTGGAGGGGATGAGGAGTGTCCCGAGCCTCAGTTGTCTTATCTGTAAACTGGGAATCATAAAACCTATCTGAAGCTGGGAGTGGTGGTGCACACTGATAATCCCAGCTACATGGAGGCCGAGGCAGGATGATCGCTGGAGCCTTGGAGTTCAAGACCAGCCTGGGCAACATAGTGAGACCTATCTCAAAAAAAAAAAAAAACTATCTGAAGAACAGAAGTTGAACCAGATGCTGCTTTTTTTTTTTTTTTTTTGACCATATAGTAAAATTGAGTTGATTTTCTTTTGGTATAGAGTTCTATAAATTCTAGAACATGTATAGATATCTATAGGTTTGTATCATTACCTCCACAATCAGGTGACAGAATGTAAACAAAAACTTTTATTGGGCTCAACACTTGTTTTTTTGAGACAGGGTTTCATTGAGTTGCTGAGGTTGGTTTTGAACTTGAGATCCTCCTGCCTCAGCCTCCTGAGCTGCGGGTGCAAATTCTTTATTGAACACACGTCTTTTTTTTTTTTTCTTCTTTTTTAAACATTTATTTTTTAGTTGTAAGTGGACACACAATATCTTTATTTCATTTTTACATGGTGCTGAGGATCGAACCCAGTACCTCAAGTGTGCTAGGCAATCATTCTACCACTGAGCCATAACTCCAGCCCATGAACACACCTCTTAATAATCAATAAAATTTTATTGAGCACCCCATACTCATTTACATTATCTGGGTTAAGACCCTGCTTATCCCTCATCCCCATCTTACAAACAAGGAATCACCTGGATTGGCCAAAGGTCAGGCACAAACCTCCCGACTCCAGACGCAACATTCTTGCCCCCCCAGCACATCTCCTCCCTTGCAGGATTTTGCAGCAGTAAGACTTTAATCCAAAAGAGAAGGGAAAGAAAAGGGAGAGGAGATCCTGGGACAACTCTGACTTCTTCAAAGCTCTGTGCTTTGAAGAGGTTCATTCTTCCTGTTGTTCTGAAAGTCTGAAGCCCGACAGGACCCACCCCTTGTTAACAAGACCTGGACAGTCCTCCCAACACGCTCGAGAGTCTGTCCCTGGGCCACCATGGCAGGATCCCAGCTCCTGCCAGCCTCCCCCTCCCCAGAACAGCTCTGAGACCCTCGGTGGGCTCATGCCCCACTGCCCACTGGGGGAAATCCAGCTGGGTCCCTTGGGACCTTGGTTTAAATACAGGCTGGTTCCTCCTCTGACCTAGCTTGACTTCCGGCCCTCCTGCTGCAGGTGCTGCTAGGGCTGGGGTCATCTGACCTGAGGCTTTGAGTGTTTTTCCAGCAGAACCAGAGGTGAGAGAAAAACAAAATGTGAAAATCTGCCACTGCTGGGGTGACAGTGGGGGTAGCATTCATCCTTATCCTACACAGGGCCCCAAAGGCCATCCAGGAACATGAAGTTTGGGGTTCCTGACTTCTGTCTGTTCCCGTTGGTCCACTTCAGAGCTGGAGTCAGAACCCAATCTGGGGAATTCTGGGTGTGTCCAGGTCTCCAAGCTGCACTGGTATGACACCCTTGGGTCCTGTGTTGTCATGGAAACAGCAGCCTTTCGCTTGAAACACCCCATTGCCCTACCCTGCCCAAAAGCCTTCTCTTAGATGACTGCAAAGGACAAAAATTAACAGGCATTAAGTCCTGAATTCAACTCGAGTGTAGTTTGTTGAGACATGTTTTGACTGATCCCAATACAATTTTCAAGAGAAAGAAAGAGACATTTTCCCCTTGGACCTAACCCATTTTCTCCATGGGGCAGGAAGGGAAGGCAGGGAAGACTCTTCTCAGTCCAGGTTCTGCAAGTCCCGAGTCTAGTAGAAAATTGGTGTGCACTTGGAGTCAGCTCGAGCATACAGCCTTGTTCACTTTTTCTTTTCTTTTCTTTCTTTTTTTTTTTTCCATGTATATGTTGCCGTACATTCAAGTTCATGTCTTTGTTATTTCAAAATAATTACTTGCAGGAGGACATCTAGGTAGGACATATCCACCTCATTGTCCCTGGCTGGTTAGAGCCCTGAGTTTCTCTCTCAGTTGTGTCCTCCATTCATTTGTTCCACTCAGCAGATGCTTTTAATCCTGGGGTCCCCACCTGCACCAGTTTGCCCACTCTCTCCACTCCCTGGTTTGTTCTTTCCCCTTCAGTCTCTCTGCCATTTCCTTCATGGTAGTTTCCCTCAATTTGAAATTTTATATTTGTTGGCTATTGTCTCTCTCCCCAGTGGATCGTAAGCTCCAGAAAAGAGAGTGCGGTGTCTCTGTTCACCTAGGTGTGCCCGTCTGCCTGGCACAACTCCTTATTGAATCAGTTAATGCCTGAATAGAGAATGCGTGAGAGAGGGAGTGAACGAATGAACGGCAGAAACCCAGCCTCACTTTTAAGAGCCTACCGAGCAGGAGTAAAGGGGATAAGACATGCACATCTAACCCTAACCGCAGCACAAGGTGGGCGTGGTTATTTCCAGCAAGGGCACACATCAGGAAAAGCACTCCGGGCTTCCTGCAGCTGTTGGAACACCCCTCGGAGCGTGGCGCTTCTTTCTCAATGGAGCACTATCCCTGGAGAATAATTCCCAAAGCAGAGGGAATTACCTAGATGGTCCTGTTGCTCTAGATTGTTCTGGGGTTGTCAGCCAGTGTAAACAACACCCCATCGACACACAGGGTCTGCCCCATCCTCCACCAGCACCCTCCCCATGGAGCTTCCTCCATGCTCTGATTGCATTGGGGCAAACTCAAGGGTCCATTGAGATACAGGAAGTGAAAACACAGATGAACATTGAAACGTGCGATACAAATGTGAAGGACGGCGTGATTTGGTTCACTGAATCTGGCTATGGTGGGCTGTTTTTTTCTGTTGTCCTGAATGCAGGCAGACAGCCCATCCTGGGGCTGAGGTCCCTTGCCTGCAATTCCACCACCTTTACTCAACACCTTCCTGGTTGGCCCAGGAGAGTCCTGCCCACATCAAAGGACACCACCCTCTTTACTAGATGGGGCTGCTGAAGCACTTGGCACGGAGAGGCTGGGGGCCTCAAGGAGCCATCCCTTAGGAACTGGGAGAGCCTGGGCAGTCTGCTTCATCTCTGAGCCTCTGCATCCTCAATTATGAAATGAGACTTAAACATCTTATTGTTGATAATAGTACAGGCACGTGTAGGCCTTTAGAAACACACCTCCTGGGGCTGGGGATGTGGCTCAAGCGGTAGCGCGCTCGCCTGGCATGCATGCGGCCCGGGTTCGATCCTCAGCACCACATACCAACAAAGATGTTGTGTCCGCCAAATACTAAAAAATAAATATTAAAAAAAAAAAAAGAAACACACCTCCTTGGAAAAGACCTTGGGAATCCCCACATAATCCTCTCTAAAGACCTTGACCCAAGGGGCTAAGGGATCAATGGTGCTAAAACTCATGCATAGGACACTGGAAGCTAAGAGGAGGTAGAGTATGTCCCAAGTGTGATTACCAGCCTCTGACCTCAGGGAGA